TTGATGGTCCAGGCGGCCTGCTCGTCGAGATTCCCTAAAACGGTGGGCCATGCGAAGATGTACTGCGAGCCATGCAATGCCTCGAGGTCGAAGAGCTTTGGAAGTGCCCAAGTGCCCAGGCCCTTTCCTCTCCATGCGGGATCGATAATGAGCTCTTCGAGATAAACCAGGTAGCGGTTGTTTCGGAAGTCCTGTGGCTGCCAGCATCCTTGGTTGGGGCGGAGACGCCCACGAGCATTGAAGTTGAGCGCCAACTTGCCGAGCTCCTGCGTATATCGTCAAGCATGCCGGACGGTTTATTGTAAGAAAAACCGAGAGCTCACATGGGAGTATTCATCAACGCACTCGAAGAACCCACCATTGCGATTGGTCATTGGGATGTCGATGACCTGGATTTTGATAGTTCCCACTTCGATTGTTTCTTTAGCGGTCGTCTTCTCGATCTTGAGGTCGATAATCTGCGGAGGAAAATTCATGAATCCAGTTGATCGCCATACACGACTGAGCACAAACCTTCTGTGCCGAATATTCATTCTCCCCGTCGTCTGATTCCTCGTCCAAGTAGTAGTCTTCAACCTCGGGCACCACTCGCAAGCGGAGCCCCGCGAGGGAAGCCGGGTGCATCCGACAAGCTTGCTTGTGGGCCTTCCAGCACGCCTTCTGGCATTCCTTCGAACAGCTAAAGCGCAGATTCAGAGTTCAATCGATCGCTCCAAATTCGTTTACAACTCGAAGACTCACTAGTGGACGGCGGAGCATCCAGAACACACGAGTAGCGTCTGGAGGGCCACCCCAGGAGAGGCTGAGGCCCCGGGGCAATCCAAGTTATCGCACTTCAGATCCATGGAAGAACAAGAGGAAGAGGAAAAGAGTCGAGTGGCACAATGAAGCAGCCAAGCAAGCCCAAACACTTGCCCAAACATGATTCGAGTTACGTTACTGTTGCGGCCCTGTGGGTTGAATCTCCCTCCCTGGCACCATTCCCCCACAGGACGAAGCCTGAAGAAATAGTTTAGCGATCCTTGGGCCTTTGAGGCTATACGACATATTTTTCAGATAGGTAGTAAGTACAAGAAAAACCAGGCCATATGCGAGTCAACCCCGTTCGGCATTCAGTGTCTTGAGGTTTCGAGGTCAGCTTACATTTGGAATTTTCTGGCATTAATTAACAGACACTCTATCGAAACCGAGCTCGTACCTCGTAGGTATCGATCGTGATGGTAAAGGCTGCTAGATGCTGGATGTTGTAAAACAATTTACCCCGTCAACATCGCCAGTCGGATGCCAGAGCCAACCTAGTGATTAAATCACACAGTAAGTATTTAGGTTGAGGCTAGAGTTGACAATGTCGACGCGTCCAGCCGTTCGCCGGTGTTAAAATCGGGCACTGCCACTGATGGCCAAATTCAACCGTGGGAAAGTTGAGTTGAGGAAACCGTATTGGGGGACATGTTTGATCTTAGCAGGGCGGTGCCATCGCATGTAGGTGTATTCATATATATGTCTAAGGCGAAGGTAGGGCTGGCACCCTCAAAAGGACGGACATTATCCGACAACTCCAATGACCAAGCGAACCACAACTTCGTCCATGGTTGGACTCTAAGCCAGATGAGGGATCAGGGTAGCTCAGGCTCGTCATTCATCCACTGCTACAAGAAAGAATGTATGAATGGATGAAACAGCTCGCGAGACATGTACGTACATCCAGAAAGTCCGGTCGGATGATTTCCAACATAATATAATATGTACATTTACATCCACGGGAATGGGCCACCGTCCCTCAGTTTTCGTTCATTCAATACTCAGTGCCTGCTCGCCTCGAATTCGGTGATTTATCACCACCTATAATAATAACCAAACGCAAGGCACCCGAACGTCCTGACTTGGTTCGAAGTGCGACTCGATGAACGGATAGATATTTTTTTACTGGCGTTGCGTTGCGTGCCTTGTCTTTGGCCAGGACCGGAAGTCGTCAAGTCGCGTCTCGGGGTCTGGTCTGGTGCTGCGGGTGAAAACGTCCGTCCATCATGGTATTACACATTGCGCTTGCAGTCCCTAATGAAACTATTTTCCTTGGTTTTTGAACGTTGCGCTCCCAAGTGACAGAGCAGACCGAGCGTCGGTTCCACCTCCCCGCCCACTGGCAATCGATATCAGTCGTTTGGACTTGCCGTATCGCGTTCATTCTGCTGAGGGGCGGTAACACCTTCCCCAATGGCCAGGGTTTACTTTCCTTTCCGCAAAATCGACGAGCGCCGCGGTATCGACTGCGCGGGAAATCAATAAAGAACGTCGCTGCTGTGCTATGGCGCAGATACATGTATGCAACTGAACTGAACCGATGAGGTGTCGGACGGGCCCGTGTATTCGTCCACCAGTGACCAGCCAGGTAGGTAGGAAGCGCTGTTCAAGCCAAAAAGCGAGCGTGAGCGCGCTATGAGACTTCTCCGTGCGAGCTCCATACATAGGTTAGTCAAACCAAAACCTAGCGTCCAGAGATTGCGAGTGTGTGTGGTTGATGTTGTGGGCGTGCTGGACGGCGCACATGATCAATCGCAAAGAATGGACTGCGTGGAAGGACTCACGAACAGATTGGAGTGTTGTGTGTTAGGAATTATGACGCAGCCGTGCTGTTCAATCCACAAGGCGAGCCTGATGGCTGATTGCGCCACGAGACTTCTCCTCCGCCGTGCGAGCTCCATACATAAGTTAGTCAAATCAAAACCAAAGCGCAGAGATTGATGTTGTGGGCGTGCGGGACGGCGCACATGATGATCAATGGCGAAGAATAGACTGTGAGGAAGAACTCACGAACAAGTTTGGAGCGTCGAAGCTGAAGCCTGCTGTGTGTTCGGAATTTATTTGGGACTTCATTGGAGAAGACCACTCACATCGTTCAAGTTATTTCGTCGCGAGAAGGTTTTGCGCGAATGAGCGGTAATATCAGTATCAGTATCCGTACCGTACATTGTGAGCCGCCGCCAAGCCAGTCGCGACTTGCAGAAGCACAAGGTTGGTTTGGTTGAAGTTCGGCCGAATGCCGAAAGTGTTCGTGCCGGAATGCCGATGGAAACACGTGTCACTATATAGCAGATCCCGGGCCGCGCCAATTGATTCCAAGTAGTGGAGGAATGAGAACGACGCGACTGAGAACGACGCTGGAAATGCAAAGGCCTTGGGAGCATATGACCATAACCCATGAGTATCATATTTTTTTATGCAATGCAGAAGAGATTATTTGTACGCGGACGACACCATAGTGAGTAAACGACGAACGCCTCGCATTACACGCCCCGCGCGTCTGTCTGCTCTACTCCCAGCCTCCAGCCGCGGGTGCCTCTGCGCCCCATCCTCCACCAGCAGCAGCGGGCTCCGCGGCCCAGTCGGTCGACGCACCGCCAGGGGTGGGGTCTGCGGCCCAGTCGAGGGCACCGCCGTCGCTGACAAGCCCGGGGTTGATCGCACCCGCCTGCGCACCTCCGACGTCCCAGTCGACCGGCTGCGCGGGCTCCTCCGCGCCTTGCAGGAGCGCGGCCTTGGCCTCGGCCTCCTCCTTCTGCTGCTTCTCGACCTCCTCGGGGTCGCGGTAGAAGAACATGTCGACCATGACGTTCCAGCCGTCGCTCGTGCGGGGGATGGTGCCGCGGAGACGGAGGACCTCGCGGGCGAGGAGCCACCAGATGAGACCGATGGAGTGGCGGGTCTTGTTGTTGGTGGGGATGGCGACGTCGACGAACTTGAGGGGGGCGTCGGTGTCACAGAGGGCGATGACGGGGATGTTGACGTAGGACGCCTCGCGGATGGCCTGGTGGTCGACGCGGGGGTCGGTGACGACGATGAGACGGGGCTCCTTGAACGAGCGGGTGATGTAGTTGGTGAACGACCCGGGGGTGAAGCGGCCCGCGATGGCCTGTGCGCCGGTGTTGGCGGCGTACTTGAGGACGGCGCGGTGGCCATAGGGCCGGGCGGAGATGACACAGACGTCGTTGGGGTTCTCAACGGCGGCGATGATGCGCGCGGCAAGGACGAGCTTCTCCCAGGTCTTGCCAATGTTGAGGATGTGGATCCCTGCTCGAGTCAGTACTCTGCGCACACTACCCTCTGGACTGCGCACCGTCAGGACGTCTCTTCCAGACATAGGGCCCCATCTGCTTGTCGCAGTTTTTTGTGCCAATATGGCACTGGGCGGCCAGCAGGAGCTGGATCTCCTCCTCGGTCGCGCTCAGCACCGCGGGCAGTTTTGAAGCCATATTGTGTTGTGGTGGTGTAAGGAAACCTGCAAAAATTGGTGAGCAAAGTACATCCACACTCCAAAGGCCGCATCCAGCCCATTTCAGCGTCCTTTCGTCTGAATGCGCGGTATATGGGCGACGGGCGGGCTTGGGTACATACCGTGAGGCTTCTTGTCGGCTTGGACGACGAGGGGAAGCTTTTGGGGACGGACGGGACGGCGCTGGCAAATGCTCGATTGGGTTCTCACGTCAGTCTGATCCCATCAGACAAATTCAGTTCCTCCGACTTTCTCCGACACTGAACCGCATTTGCCCGGGGAGGCGAAAGAGAGACAGGGAAGCAGGAAATAATGCGTGAACGTAGATCCAGCGTTAGGGATCCATCCAGCCAACCAAAAAAAAAAGTATTAGGGACTGGATCCACGACCCAACCCCGAATCGAACAAGGATTCCCTGCATACTCAGAAGGAGGATGTACTGCTAGCAGGTGCACTAACCACTGTGCTATTGAGTCCATGATGCATTTTCTGAGGCTGTCTATAGGCTCCCATTTACTACATACACATTGACAATGCCTGGAAGGTCAGGTTGAAAATCCCAACTCAGATGATCGACTTCAAACTTCAAGACTCGGATGCATCTCGAGACTCCATCTGAGAAACTTTTGGCAGGAAAGTACAATCCACTCGAGATTTAGGAGGATTCAAGAACAAGTAATTACGATACAGAGTCAAACTAAAAATAAAAATAAATCATTTGGAACACATATGACCCAACCCCGAATTGAACGGGGACCTCCCGCTGAGCAATCCTCGACTCTCACCGATAGCAGGCACACTAGCCATTGTGCTATTGGGTCATTAATTCCTGCACTCATACTTCTCTAGGGATAGATTTCTTTTGAGACAAAGACCTTGAATCAACTCAGATGTGTTCAACTCCAATTTTATTTGAAGCTCAAGTTCAAGTCCCAGCCTAATTGAACCAAAAAACGTTCACGCCACCAAGAGCCCAGGTAAAGCAGGGAAAAAACAAAAAAAACAAACCGATCAAGGGCTATGACCTAACCGCGAATCGAACAGGGACCGCGAATCGAACAGGGACCGCGAATCGAACAGGGACCGCGAATCGAACAGGGACCTCCTGCAATACTCTCTTTGGTCCTTTGTCATACACAGCAGGTGCACTACCATTGTGCTATTAGGTCGTTGATTCTGCTGCTCATATAACGAATAGACGTAGGGTGATTATTATTTTTTTGATCCTGGCAGTGGTCAACTTGAATGTATGTGTTCAACTCGAATTTTATTTGAAGGTCAAGTGCTCAAGTTCAAACGCTCAAGCCCTCAAGTCCCAGCCCATTTGAATCATTCATCCAAAAACGGTTCACGCCCCAGGTAAAGGAGGGGCAAAAAAAAAACTTCTCATAAGCATTACGACCTAACCCCGAATCGAACCTCCTGCAAATACTCTGTTCTTCCATTTTATGCACAGCAGGTGCACTACCACTTGTGCTATTAGGTCATTGATTACTGTGCTTGTGTAATTCATAGATGGAGGGATGCATTTTTTAAGACGATGATCCTGATGGTCAACTTGGATATGTTCAACTCACTTTGAATTTTTATTCCTGTCACGTTCAGGTCCCAAAATTTATGTAAAAGTACGAGTAGTAGCAGGGGAAAGTGGGAAAAGGGAAGAAGAAAAAAAATGAATTGTTACTACACGTATGACCTAACCCCGAGTCGAACAGGGACCTCCTGCATGAGATGCTTTGCTAATGCACCGAGAGCAGGCACACTAACCGTTATGCTATTAGGCCATTGATTCCTTTGTTGAGGTTATCTTCAGATGAGTGCATGTGAGGAAACTTTTAAATTATTACTCGTAACCAGGTCAACTTCAACATGCTCGTTGGCATTTGGCATTTGGCGGGCAATTCACTCGGGAACTCAAAGTCACTCGCGAGCCAGAGTCGTTCCGGGCTGCTCCTTCCCATGTGCGCGTTCGAGTCCACTGGACCTCGATGCGGTTCTGATCATGATTCATGAAAGAAATTGAAATTGGTTGAAAGTTTTTGCTTGCGCAGTGGCCCTGACGCAGAAGTCGAATCAGAATGAGGACAGAGTGGAAGAGGAGTCAGAGTCATGCTGGGGTGTCGGGTCGGAGACAGACGTGCTCAGAGTATTGAACGACGACGATGAAGATGAAGTCGGGTTGAAAACACTGAGATTCCGACAAACAGGATCAGCGCGACGCACAAATGTCCTCCTGATTGATACATGCATGCTACATTGTGAGAGGAAAGGAATCCAGGAGGTTATAGAACACATCGGCAGATTCAACCAATGACGGCCAATCTGAGTTATCTTCTATTAGTTGAGTCCAATATTCGCTGCATTCCGTATGGGTGAGCTTAGGGGCCACAACAGGTCGGTCTGGGTCACCTACACACGGCTGGACAGAATTGAGTTGCGCCGGATGTAGCTCCATATGGGTCTGCTCAGTTCGCCTCGCCTGGGGAATTGTAGGTAGGGCTGCGCTCATTGCCGTCGCGACGGCTTGACGGCACCTGTTCCGTCGGAGATTGTGCGTGCAAAACGGAAGACGGGCCGGAACGGCAAGGCGACGGCACACAGGAGATTTTGGCTCCAAATACTATTGTATGGGGCCAATTGATCGTTTTCGTGCATTGAAAACTCAGCTTCAGTTTTTCCAAGGCTGCTGGGAACTTTGAAAGAGTATGCTGCACTCAGCCGAGGTTGCCGGACTGACATTCCGCTTTGCGAAAGACACAACATTGAACATTCCAACTCAGAAATTTGTTTGGCGTGTTAGTTAAGGCTCGAGAGATTAAAAAAGCTGCAAGTGCCTTAGATCATGTCACAGTATTATAATGCACCTAGGACCCACACTACCTTGCAATAAAACTTGCAACAAAATTTATTCTCGTACATCCGTTACCGGCCGTCCCGTCGACCGTCCCGTACCGTCGCAAGTCAAAAATGCCAATCGATGACCCGTAAACAGACGGCCGTGCCCGTCACGGCAACGGGTGGCAGCCCTAAGTGTAGGTCAGTTTGAGTGCCTAGACTCACTTCAGTTTGCAGCCGGTTTTTGATTCGGTTTAACAAACTAGTTCATTAACCAAGTTGGGCGATGCTACACTGGCATTGGTGTAGGTGCCTATGATGACTTGCACTCACCTCAGCTGTGCTGTATCCAGCTACGCGGATCTACACAGACCTAGACTCATCTACGCGGCTGAATGTAAGCGGCACTCTAAGTGTAGCTCTGCGCCCTACGGCCTGAATGATCGATCAAGCTTGAAGTTGTTAATCACCCACCCAACCAGTGAGCCACGACTGATTAGAGACTAACTTGCCGAAGGGGATGCATGCAATCTAGATTCTAGATTGCCGGAGATTACTCCCAACCCTGACCCTGACCCTGACAAACGCACGTCGCGGAAGACAAGAGGAGGAGGACGGGAGAAACGACCTAACCCGTGTCAAACAGCGTACGTCCGAACCGAGAGCAATGGCATTGACACCAGGTCGTCGTTGTGTCAATTGAACTTCATTTTATTTGACTGAGGATCGGCGCAATATCGATCGAGTTGATTCCAAATCGGGTTTGCGACCGCGAGCTGGCACGACGGTTGAGGTGTAGACACCGAGAGGAAATTTGCGTGTACCAACATAACCCGAATTCCGCTGAGGGTGGCGAATTTGCGATGCTTGAGGTTGGTACACATGGACTGAGGTTGAGGTCATGGCCTGGCGGAGCCGCGCGTCGGTCTGCCCAACACAATGACTGAGCCACGGGCAATGACCGTGAATTCCAGTCCAGAGGCCGTTACGATATCAACCCATATATTGCGGATTCATAAGCGACGCACAAGACCCCGTTTGACGGAAGGAGCAACTGAGCATAGACCATAGTACGCAGAGCATCGTGGCATGAACTGCGACACACTCTGACATCTTCTCCGACGGCGAGTTGACACTTGCCGGCGCCACGGCCGCGATCGAGAGTATTGAGTATTTCACTGCGGGTGGCGCACGGGACCCGGGGATCGTGTATGTGCGCCGCATTGCCCGCGCGCCTTGCTGAGATGGCATCCCGATGGTAACGGTCTGTTTTCAACCCGACGGTGAATGGAAAGTACTGGAAGAAGAGAGGCTATGACTAGAGCCTGGGCGATTCATCGACGGTCGTGCATGTACACGCCGCACTGCACGAGGAGCGCGCCTTGCTAAGATGTCGTCCCGACGGTAAAGGACTCGAAGAGAGCATGAATATGAGTGGCGTAGAGGCTGGGCGATTCATCGACGACGAGTACGCGACGGCGATGTACCAGGAAGCCAGTTGCTTGCAGGAATATAGCATGACTGCGTGTGGCGTAGAGGTTGGGCGATTCAGCGCTACATCGTCGTCCGGTGAGTACGCGGCGCTGAGGAGCGATGACGTAGAAAGGCAGACACGCGTATTCCGTCGTACCCAATGCTCGCTGCTCACGCGCTCAAATTTGAATTTTGGGGTCGGTGTTGTAAAGGCTTTGCGAGAAGACGGAGTTACGGGCGGGCAGCCTGAGCACCAGATGATTCAGAGCAGAGTTCGCGAGCGCCTGCGCCGGTCACGCTCCGGAGTGAGAACCAGCACAGACGCTGGCATGTCTGTGGAATGAGGAGATTCACTTTCCAAGGCGGGTTCGGTTGACGGCAGTGTGCTTCGAGGCCGCGGTAAGTGTTTGCTGACCCTCGGAAAATGGTTTTACATGGAACTAGGGTGGAAACTTGGAGTTCACGGTCTTGGATTGGAATCGCGAAGGCTCGAAGCTGTGGAACATCGATCGATCACGGTGGTGTCTTGACCAGTCATTCTCTCTTCGATTTTCAGGCGTAACGATGTCGAAACAGATGCATCCTGACTGGATCCGCCCTGGGATCCACCGCTGATATCGAGGGTTGGTCGTGGATTGAAACAGAGTCGCAAGGCGGTGCGACGCAAAACATGCGACAACAAACTCTCTTTTGCATTCGACCAACATGACCTATGTCGCCATTCAAATTCTCATCGATGGAAGGACTTTCACCTATCAGGATGGTAGGAGATACCTATCGATATCCGCCTGCATCGGTTGGAATCACTGCTTTGGGCACTAGCCTTCATTCGACTGAAGGGAAGACTGAATGGATTCAATCTCTGCTGTGCAATTGCAACTTTTCCTAGACCAACTTGACTCATTACTCCGAGTGGCGCCTGCACGATAGTACGATATCTCGTTATGAGACAAATTCGCCTGGCTTCGCCTTCCACCGCCACTGGTCTCCGCACCCCGAACCTGCTATCGTCTTCCCCGATTGAGCTCGATTATATTAGCGCCAGTGCCTGAAAACGAGGTTCGTGGCAACTCCCGGCCAAGAGATAGGAAATGGGTAGCTCAGACCCGGTGGCATGGGCTCGTGTTAATTTGGACACTCAATTTCCGTGCTCCGGTCCGACGAGATGATCATCCAAGTTTAACTGGCTGGTTCTGCCGGCTGCGCGACTGCTACATACGCTTTATGCATGCATACCTCGAGGTGTCTACCTGGCGGATCTATTTTCTCCGTCTCTTTTACCAACCGACAACCATCACTTTGCTTTGAACTCCCCTCACGCTGTACTAACCTGCCACAATTCGACCCGGCTCCATGGATTCTGACGGCGCTCAGTGCGTACATAATTTCTTTGCTGTTGGCCAAACCGCTGACCCGTACCCCGGCAGTCTGAGATACGATGTGACGATACGCCAGCAGCCACTGCATGCGCGCATATCCGCCATGAAAATTTCGGGTCAGAACCGCCAATGTACGCACGCTAGGGTGGAGCTGATACTGTGATCAGCAGATCGCCGGCCTGTCGACCCTCCCATAATCGTACAGCTCTTCGTGAGTGATCGCCGGGACATGGGCTCGAACGCGCCGCCGTCCAGGGCAAACCATCGGTAGCCGAGTTTCTCTATTCGCAGTCGCATCACGAAAGCTGACATTGGTGTATAAAGATCATTGACTCGCCATTCGCATCTGACGAATCCGTACTACTTTATGTATGCGGCGCTCGTCGAGACGAACAATGATAACGAAGTGAAATACATCGGTGTATGGCGCAGGTCATTATTCCGGACTCCCCTTCTCATCTTTATTATTTCCAGGACGACGGAAGACCAAGCACTTCCGGCTCTCTCATCTCGTCCGTTCGCGTGCTGAAGGACCATCCCAATTCGGAGCAAGATGCGGCCTTTTTTATATTCCCCAACATTTGCGTACGAGTAGAGGGAAGTTGGCGGTTCAAACTGAGCTTGTTCGTTATCGACGGGTGTGTTGTTTTCACCGACCCAGCCATCCACGCTGATAAGTTCTGTAGCGACAAAGTGAAGTCCTGTGCCACAACCTACTCCGCGCCATTTTTTGTATATTTAGGAAAACAGTACCCAGGCGTTCAAGGTGCGTCGCACCCTAGGGTATATATCACAACAT